GCATATAAGGGTCCATCAATAAGATTCACCGCTTAATTTGTCTTCAGAACCTTGATATCACAAGTCAGTAATGTAATGTAATTAATATGCTTTAAAAAAAAACACCTGTCAATCAAGATTTCTACTTCCACTAAAACTGTCTTTCAAGAGTTAGGTTGAAATTAAGACATTCCCAGAGAGACAAAAGCTCAGGAAGTTTGTAATGAGTTGGTCAATACTGTAGTAAATTCTAAATGTAACGATAAGGAGTTTGTTTCTTCACCTAGGACTCAAAAGATTTTTAGACAGTTATAATTCTATTTTGTGTCAACCCAGTTGGGCCAGGATTCTCGATGGTTTTACTGGTTAATACCTAATTATCTTTAATTGCCTGACCTAACAAAATTCAATCACAGTCAATCAGCTAAAAGATTAAGGTGGGATGCAACACCCTTACTAAGGTTACAGCACTGATGCTGTTTCCTTAGGGGTCTGGTCAGCTTCCTACGTAAGTGGATGCCGTGGAAAAGCTTGCTTGCTTGCTTCTTTGCTGGGTCTAGATCCTGCATTCATCTTATTGACCTGCTGAGCCTTGGATTCATTCACCTCTGCACCAACCTGTCATCTTTTTGTCGAGCTTGGGTTCGTCAGCCACCACAGCTATTCAGATCAGGGCAAACTCTTGACCTGACATCTAACTGATGGACTTAGAACGTGCCTGCTTCTACAACAGTATAAGCCATTTTCTCGATATATATATTTCTTTCTCTATACCCATGTTAGAACCCTTGGTGGCAGAGCATGTTACATGTTGGGCTGCTAATTCCAAAACCAGTAGTTTTAACCTACTAGTCACTCTGCAGGAGAAATATGAAGCTTTCTGCTTTTGTTAAGATTTCTAGCCCTGGAAACCTATGGGGGCTATTCTACTCTCTCCATAGGGTCACTAGAAGTCGATGTAATAATGAGTTAGTTTCTTTTATACACACTTGTATGCATCACTAGTTTTGCTTCTCTAATAAACTCGATACTAACTCAATGACATATAATGAAAAGAAATAATTTCAATACAGGTATTCTCATGGGCAAATATAAGGGGCGGTTTTATGGTATTTTGGTTTTAAATAGGCTTTAACTTTAGTACTTATGTCCTACATGATTCTAAAAGGCAAAGTCAGACAAAATAGAACATATATTTTATAAGTGTAACAATATGTACTATATACACATATATTATATACACATGTTGTATACATATACAATACATATTTATATGTATAAAATATATGCCCAATATTCCAAAAGGGCAAACGCATAGAGACCACATTTTTTAATGGCTAATAGAGTTGGGTGAGAGAAAGAAAAGCAATATTATTGCTTAAAAGGCATTGAGTTTCTTTTAAGAATGATAGAGAAACTTGGAGAGTGGGGATGCTTATATAACATGGTGAGCCTAATTAGTGTTACTAAATTATACACATAAAAATGTTGAAATGATAAATATTTTGTCACATACACTTTACTACTTAAAAAATATAACAACAGAAAACTAAAGTTTAGAGTTTTAAGTTGAAAATAACAATAATGCCATTAATAGAAAAGGAAAAACAGTTTTAAAGGGAGCTTATTTTTCAGAAAAATGAGATTGTTAGTACAAATTGAGTTTGAGGTGAAGATGGATGTCATTCACATGAAGATTAAAGTTTAAAGGATTCATGAGAATAAATCAGCTTCCCAGAAGGGTGAGCATAGGATAAAACGAGGGTCAAGGATTGAGCCTAATGATACAGTAAGAGATAGGACTGCCGAAAGAGGAGGAGGATACTCAAGCCTTTGGGGAGGCTGGGGGCGGGCATGCTGGATATTTCTAGAGAAAAAAAACAACAACAGAAGGGACAACACCTGGCATAGTAATATAAATTGGGTTAAAAACAAACATAAAGAAATCAACCACACACACACACACACACACACACACACACACACACATATATATATATATGATATATATATATATATAGAGAGAGAGAGAAGTAGCCATTTTACATAATTAGTTTAATTTTCATAAGTTAGTTATTAAAATGACATTTCCATTCTATGGACAAAGCTAAAGATTTTAAAATGTTATGTAATTCACCCAAACTCATAAAGCTAGGAAGTAGAGAAATGAAATTCTTACATGAGTCTCTTATTTTCCTATGAGAACATGCTGTTTAGGTTCTTTAATAAGTCAAGTATTTTCCATTTCTCTTTGTCTCTAAGAGGATCTCTCATAGAGTGATAGGTCTGTAAACTCTAAAGCACACGAAGGTTAGATATTATTTTTCAATATACATCCAATGCAAGGGGATAAGAAATCTGCCAGTGTATTTGGGTAGCAAGAACGTAATGAAATCATTAAAAAACAGTAATCATAAATTTTAAAATGTGGTCAGAAGAAATAGTGAAAAAGAGCAATGAGAAGACTAAGGGTCAGTCCAGCGGAATTCTGTCAAAAAAATAACAGAAACATTGGGATGTGTGTGTGTGTACATATATCTCTCTCTATATAGATATCTATATATAGATATCTATATATGTAAGTGTTAATGTAAGCATGCCTAAGCAACATAAACCCAGGAAGGGCCTGAGAAAATATGACATTTAATTCAATGTCCTGAGGCGCCATCATGTGGTCAGAAAGAATACAGTCAGGAATCCTGGTCACACAGCGGTTTAAGTTGTTAAACTGCTAGGTGGGCGGTGTGAACTCACCAGCTACTCTTTGGAGATACATGTGGCAGTCTGATTCTGTAAAGAATTACATACTTGGAAACCCTATGGCCCAGTTCTATGCTATGAGTATGAATTAACCCAGTGGCAGTGAGTATGGTTTAGATATTCAGTTTTGCAATACTTAACATGCATATACCATCAAATGTTCATTAAAACTCAAAAACTCTCTGGCATCTAGTCCATTCTTACTCATGGTGGCAGTAGAGTAGAACTAACTGTCCGTTAGTTTTTGAGACTAACTACACAGGAGTGGAAAGCCTTGTCTTTCTCCCTCAGAGCTGGCTGGTGGTTTTGAACTGCTGCCTTTCAGTTAGTAGCTTAAAGTGTAACCACTATGCCACAAGAGCTCCTTTACAAGGTATATTTACAAAGAATGCTATGAGCAAACTACATATGGAGTCCCCCCCCCCACTGTTAGGCTATTCATCCATCATGATTTATTCTCAGGGAATTAGTAATTTATTGTACTAGGATAAGCCATAACCCTTTGAGTTGTTCCACAAGGGCCATAAAAAGTTGGAAACTACAGATTCTTCGTATTCAGAGTAAGGTTAAAGCTGAGACATCTGAGATTCCAGAATGAAAAGTATAGTTGACTATGGAAAGGATAAAGTGTGAAATAAGTTTGCACAGATATATACACATCAGCAATGTGTAAAGGATTATGTGATATATACATGTCTGAAAAGTATACTGCCTTAAGTTTTCACTATGCATATACACACAATAAATATATCGACAATTACAAATATACATTTTTAACTAAAAAATGACAGTAAAGCAACAGCTTACCTGTACGGTCTCAATTAGGCTTGCAGAATAGAAAGGCATTGCCACCATATAAGTTAGGCTGTAGACATTAAAACAAACATCAGTATACAGAAAAATTATTTCATTAACTTTTTAAAGCTCTGTTTTAAATTAACATAATTTATATCCACACCAGGATGGTCTTTAAAGTTTTTCTAATGATTAATATCTAAAGCATAAAGATATTAATTTCAGAGATCTATAACATAGGACACTTTTTTCTACAACTACAGAC